TTGACCAGAAAGAGAGAAGAAAAGTGAGAAAGCAAGCTGCCAAGTCTGGGACTCGAACTGTGGTTGGCCATGTGAGAGTCCAGCACCTTAACTGGCACACCACCTGCTGGCCCCCCTAAATTGCTACTTCTTCTTTGTTTGTTTGAGGGAGATTTTTGCTATAGGGTGTGTGTGCTCACCAGAGAGACAGAAAGGAAGAAATCACCTCTCCAGGAGGGATAGGCACACTGCAATCCTTTCTCCTCCATTATTCTCTTGGGATTTGGGGCATACATATACATGTGTCTGGCATGAATTTTAAGCTGCCTAGTCTGGTACTTGAACCACGGTTGACTAGGTGGGAGTCCAATGAGATATCCATTACGCCATCTGCTGGCCCCCCACAAATTGCTACTTTTAATTCTCTGAAATTTTTCTTATTCTGCCTGGGGAATGTGTCTTATTAGTTTCAAGTATTTATTTAGAGCACAGAGCTGCAGAAGGTTTGGAAACCATCTTCATGAGAGTGAGATTTGAAGCCAGTTGTCCTAGAGAAAGTAATGTGGAAAGAACAGATAACTTTGTATTTCACCCTTTACTTAAGAGCAAATGTTTAGACATACTCCTTTTGTAGGAAGTTGGCATGTTTTAATATTCAGGTCTTTTCTTAGCATGGTGAAAGATTTATTTATTCAGCAGTATGCTGATTGAGAGTCTCTGTGCTCTTGGACTGTATACTAAGAAAATAGCGCAAATTTAGTGATTGAGAACTGGGGAAAATCACCCAGAGGGGTCAGCTGTACTATGGCTACATGTAATGCCAACCAGTTTTAGTGATGCTATTATCTTGGCAGTCCAAATGTCTCATTTGCATATAATCATAGCTGTGTCTCATTTTTGCCAAAGTGACATGCTTTCAGATCCTTTCCTATAAAAGTTTGAGACATTGGTATAGATTATTTTTACTGTCCAAAGTTTATTATTCAAGTGAAATCACCATGGTGCATATATATTGGGTTGACAGAAAAGTCATGACGTATTTTTTTCTGTGTCTTTTTAAAAGAATTATTTACTTAATGTGTGTGTATGTATGTATGTATGTATTTTACCAGAGAGAGACAGAGAGAAAGAGAGAGAGAGAGTAAAGAGAGAGAGAGAGAAAGTGAGAAAGCAAGCCATCAGGTCCTTGACTCGAACCACAGTCAGCCATGTGGTAGTCAAATATCCTCAATCACCATGCCACCTGCTAGCCCCCAATTTATTTATTTATTTTTAAATTTCACCAGACAGGGGGGCAGAGAGAGAAAGAGAGAGGGGAGGAAGAGAGAGAGAAAGAGAGAGAGAGAGGGAGGGAGGGAGGGAGGGAAGGAGAAAAGGAAAGGAAAGTGAGAATTTTCTATGTTTTTCAAAGGTCATTTATTTATTTAGAAAGCAAAGATAAATCAATGATATATTGCCCACTCTATTCGATAACCTTTTGCCAACTTTCAGTGAGTTTCACAAGTCTTCGTTCATTGAAGGATCTGTCTTTGCAAAAAACTGAACAAGGTGCTGATTTGCAGCCTCATCTGAATCGAATGTTACACCACGCAAGGAGTTTGGAAGAGAGAGGAGCAAGTAGAAGTCTAACAGCACACAGTCAGGCGAGGGTGGTGGGTGTGGCAATACACCTCACCCAAGCTCCAGTCATTTTTGATGGGTGATCAAACTTGTGTGTGGTCTCGTGTGGTTGTGATGGAACACAACTCCTTTATGATCAACGAACTCTGGAGGTTTCTGGATGATGGATTCATTCCAGCTGCCCAATTGCCAACGACAGTGCACATTTGAACTGATTGTTTGGGTCCTTGGTAGGAGCTCGTGAAACATGACATCTTTAAAATCCCACCACACCGAGAGCATAACCTTCCTTGAATGAACGTCTGCTTTTGATGTTGTTTGAGGCGAATCATCACATTGGGACCAAGACTGTTTGTGCACCACCTTGTAAACAGACCACTTCTCTTCCCCAGTTATCAGTCACTTCAAATAGAAGATTGTGTTCCTTGGGCGTCACGAGCTTATCACAGATGTTTACATGCACCGACAAATGAACTTGAGTTCATGAGGAACCCAAATCTCGAGTTTCCTTACATATCCCAGCTTCTTTAGGTGGTCTTGAATGCTTGAATGATTGGTGTCCAATGCTTCTGCAATCTGTCATGTCATCTAATGTGGGTTTGACTTGATCAATGCTTTTATTTCATCGTCATCAACCTCGGCGGGCTTCCCTGAACGAGGAGCACTGTTGAGATCAAAATCACCAGCATGGAATCTCATGAACCATCGTTGGTACTGACGTTCTTGTAGAGTGTTGTCACCATAAACTTTACGCAACTTTTCACGAGCTTGACATGAGTCTTTCCCTCTATGGAAGTAAACCAGTAAGATATGGCGAAAATGCACAGTTTGATCTTCCATCTTCAACTTGTTAAAAAGTCTCCAAAACTCAATCAAATAATTTTTTTAAAGAGTGAAGCTAGAACTGTCAGTTGTCAAATGACATAGCAATAACATTGATGTGAATGACTTTCGTACTTCCAGAAATGAACTAGTGCCACTTGTTGGAAAAATGCATCATGACTTTTCCCACAATCCAATAGTTATAGTAATTGCCCACAATGTTCAAGCCTTCCAGTACCTATGGGTTTGGCCATGTGACTTTCTTTAGCCAATGGGAGATTAGCAAACAAGACTCAGACAAAGATGCTAAATGTGCTCGTGTATTAAGTTTGCCCTCTTGGGATGTATGCCAGTGAGTGGTTGCTTTAACCTCCTAAGGTTTGGCGGATTTTGTTATGCAGCAGTAAATAACATGCAAGCAGCATCCTGTGTAATCCATATATGTGTTTAGAAACACTTTCAGGTTTGAAAATGAAACGGCCCCGATGACTGTCTTAATCCGTGCCTCAGTTTGTCCTTCACATAAAATGTTTTGTGTTGGTCCTTTAAACAGGTTTACTAAAAATGGAGAGTTCGTTACAGTTACAGAAGTAGTTGAATATTATTATTTTGAAAGTTAAACATTATTACTTGAACTTTTATTCAGAAAAGTAAAAGTGAGAGACTGAGCGAAAACAGGGAAAATAAAGAATAGAATGAAATAATGGAAAAAGAATACAGTACTTCTGAAAGTTTTGTTTATGATGTATCTAAATTTAGAACATCACAGATACACAAACCAATATTTACTTGATGGCAGAGAATCTAAATCTAGAGTATGTACATGTAATAGGAAATAACTGTTTTGGAAGAAATTGTATTGCAATGCATAGAGCCAGTATTTTTTTAAATAAAAGTTTTCTTCAAAGGATAACACACATAGAAAAATGCACCATAGTAAGTGTATAGCTTGCTGAATATCTGAATTTTAACATCAGTTTAAAATATGATGAGTCCCTTAAGACATGTGTCTATGAAATATATGTGTGTGTGTGTGTGTGTGTGTGTGTGTGTGTGTATGCTATAGAGTGTGTGCTTGTCAGAAATAGAGAGAGACAGAGACAGAGAGTAAGAGAGGGAAAGTGAGAAATCGCCTCCTGGGGGGATGGCCACACACAGTCCTCCTCCATTCTCCTCTTGGGATTTTGGGCGCACACAGATGGGTCTGGCATGATTTTCTTGGCTCTGGATCTGGGGCTTGAACCCAAAGTCAGCCATGTGATATGCAGTGATCTTATCCTCCATGCTATCAGCTGGCCTATTAATGCTATTCTATAAGTAACAAATAATCCAACTCAAGCTGTGTTTTAAAAAAGCGTGTTATTTTTGTTTTACAACAAAGCAGTAGAGGGTTTTTAGGCATGCCTTTGTCTAGGACTCAATGTGATTTAGTTTCAGTTTCTTTCATTTCTCAGGCAAGCTTTCTTCTGTTTGCAAAGAGACTTCCAGCATCTCTTAGAGCTCCACCTTCCTTTATGTCCAAAGAAAGAAGATGGTCTCTTCTGATATCTTTTTTTTTTTTGAGAGAGATTTTCACTGTAGGGCGCGTGCGCTCGCCAGACAGACAGAGAGAGACATAGAGACAGAAAGCGAGAAATCACCCCCCAGGGGGGATGGTCACGCCGCAATCCCTTCTCCTCCATTCTCCTCTCGGGATCTTGGGCACGCACACACACGCACCCGGCGTGAGTTTTAAGCCACCGGGTCCGGGACACGAACCGCGGTCGACTACGTGGGAGTCCAGCAACATAGCCATTACGCTAACTGCTGGTTCCCTCTTCTGATATCTTTTTAAGCTTATTTATTTATTCCTTGAAAGAGACAAAGAGAGGCATCCCCAACAGGGTTTTCATGCTGTGGTCCACCCCCAGCTCCAGCCAGCCCGCCCACATCACGGGTACATGTGCTCAGGACGGTCTCTAGATGCAAACCTGAACCTCCCCTTGGGTCAGCCTCCGAGAGCACTGCATTGCCATTGCACCACCGTGTGGCCCCTCTTCTGATCTCTTGCATAGAAAAATGAAATGACCTGTCTCTAAACCAATCATGAGAGGCCAGGCGTGGGGTGTAATGATTTGTTAAGCCCAGAGCCCTGAGCCAGTCTCACTCCAGGGTTCACTCCAGTTGCCCAATGTCAAAATTAAGGAGCCAAACGAGGGGAAAAGAAGGAGCAGATTTTAGGAAAGCAACCAACCGTTTTTGACTGTAGAGTGATACTTTTACAGTCACATTTTATTGCTACTCATCAGCTGAGTTATGTATAAACCCATAAGTTCTCAAGTTTGTCATATTGAAATATAAAAATGTCCCCTCTGTTAGCTGCTCTTAATTCAGGTTACTAGAAAAAGCCTCCTCATTACTTGTGAATGAGTCATTCCAAAGCATGGTCCTACCACCTGTTAATACTTCTTTCTCCTACAGAAATAAAAATATAGAAAAGGAAGGTCCAACTTAATTCCAAAAGATGTGGTCCTACTGTCAAAATGACATCAGTTTTCAAATGATTATAGAGTCTTAACTGCATGTTTTATTTTCTGCAGAAAGACTATAAAAAGGATTTGGAGACTGAAATCAAAGGGAAAGGAATGCAAGTGAGCATAGACACTCTTGATGTCCAGAGAGCAAAGAAAGCATCTGAGATGGCCAGCCAGGTAAGAAAAGATTTGCCCACAAAGTTCAAGACGAACACCTGGCTCCATGCATGGAAATAGTGTAATGGTATTTCCACGTGCGTGGCTTTGCTAATCAAACCCAGAAATACTTGCATTGCTATGGAAGGTTAAGCAAAGCTCTAAGATTATTTTCTCTTCTTTTAGAAACAATATAAGAAAGACTTAGAAAATGAAATTAAAGGGAAAGGAATGCAAGTGAGTGTGGATATTCCAGATATGCTCCGAGCCAAGAGGGCATCTGAAATCTATAGTCAGGTTGGTAGAGAATGAAGATGCTCAGAATAATGTATTCAGATATCCATTCATCATCTGCTTTCTCTCTCTCTCTCTCTCTCTCTCCTCTCTCTCTCTCTCTCTCTATATATATATATATATATATATATATATATCTTTTTTTTAAATTAAATTTTACTTTTTTAAGATAGTGTCTCATTATATAATGATCCTCTTGCCCCAGCCTTCTGGGTAGCTGAAGCCAAAGACACATGCCACCACTCCCGGCTCTTCTCTAGACAAGGTCTTGCTAAGTTGCCCAGGTTTGCCTCAGCCTCCCCAGTAACTGTGATTACAGGTGCATGCTATCTACTTGGCCTTTAGGTCGGGCCCAGAATGAAACCTAGGCTTACAGAAAGGTGAGGCTGTTTTGGTGGACTGTTTGCTTATTACTCTGTTTCAATGAGGGGCCTTCAGAGAGTGAGTGGGAAAACAGAAATAACGTAGGAATTTATTTTGGTGCAAAAAAGTTTTGAGGGGCCAGACAGTGATGCTGTGGTAAAACATGATGTTCATGAGGCTACTCCACATGGGAAGGTTCCTGGTTCAAGTCCTGAGTGAGACCTCTGTGAGCATGCTAGATACATGCATGTGCCCATGATCTGGGACTGACCGAGGCTGGGGGGGTGGATTGCAGCATCAGACTCCATTGGGAGTTCTCTCTCCTTTTTTACTTCTTTCACTCATAAAACATAAATAAAACTTAAAAAAATTGAAGTCCATGTATAGATTTTTTATGATATGCATTTTCTGTGAATTTTTTGAAGACCTCATATAGTTCTTTCATTTTTGCTGTTGCACCAACAACTGTTTTGAGTTGAAAGATGGAATTTAGAGCCATGTGGTATGGTAGAGCTAGAGGAAGTGCATCATCCTTTCTATCTTGTCTCTCTGCCTCTTTCATACACACACACACACACACACACACACACACACACACACACGCAGTTTCAGATTCATATTAGCTGTTTATATTTTTAGAAAAAGTATAAAGATGAAGCAGAGAAGATGCTTCCTAACTATTCGACTGTGGCAGATACTCCTGAAATTCAGAGAATTAAGATGACTCAGCAAAACATTAGTGCGGTGAGTAATCATTATTTCTTTTTAATTGTCCCCTTGAAATTTTATGTTGTCTAAGGAGTGACCAACCTCCTTTCCTCATTGGATTTTTTGCTGCATTACTTGAATGTTCTGTCAAATGTATTATTTTTATGTCTTTAAAGTAATAACAGTATTGGCTATTCTTGTGAATTACACTTTATCATGATTGTTTTGGAATTATAAATTCAAATTTTATCCTGTGCAAGTAAGAGTTATTAATGAATATTAAAAATTAACTCTAGAAAGAAGTCTTATTCTTTCATACAAATTTTCCTTTGAAGATGAAAAGTCATGTGAAGTGATAGCCTTCCTGGTCATTGATTATTTACACAGGTATTTACCTTGGAGTTTACTCATTCATATCCAGTTCTTCTTTTTTTTTTCACATTATTTTATTTAACTTCATTTATTTATTTATTTTTTTGGGAGAGGTTTTCGCTATAGGGCGCATGTGCTCGCCAGACAGACAGAGAGAGACAGAGACAGAAAGCGAGAAATCACCCCCCAGGGGGAATGGTCACGCCGCAATCCCTTCTCCTCCATTCTCCTCTCAGGATCTTGGGCACGCACGCACACGTGCCCGGTGTGAGTTTTAAGCCACCGGGTTCGGGACGCAAACCGCGGTTGACTATGTGGGAGTCCAGCAACATAGCCATTATGCTAACTGCTGGTTCCCTAACTTCATTTATTTTAATTTGACTGGGGCAGAGGAGAGAGAGAGAGAGAGAAAGTGAGAAAGCAAGTCATCAGGTCAGGACTTGAGCTACAGTCGGCCATGTGGGAGTCTAGTAGCCTTAACCACCACGCCAACTGCCAGACCCTCATATCCAGCTCTTAAACTTCCACATTTTAATTTGGGGAATAGAAATTGCATCAACACCATTAATTAAGAGATTAAGCTTATTTATTTATTTATTTATGAGAGGTTTTTGCTATAGGGCATGTGTGCTCATTAGAAAGACAGAGAGAGACAGAAAATGAGAAATCACCCCCCAGGGGTGATGGCCACACTGCAGTCCCTTCTCTATTCTTCTCTCAGGATCTTGGGCATGCACATGTGCCTGGTGTGAGTTTTAGCTACCGGGTCCAGGACTCGAACTGTGATTGACTACATGGGAGTTCAGTGACATAGCCATTATGCCATCTGCTGGCCTCACAATTAAGCTTACGTTTAATGGGTATAAAAACTTGAATTCTGGGGGATGTGCACCGTGGTCAGCCATATAGGAGTCCAGCATCTTAACCACCATACCACCTGCTGACCCCCACAGCCAATATTTTAATGTACAATTACCTCAGTGATTTAGTAGTCATGTGAGTGCCTCGTCAGAATTTGGCTGAGCTGTGATGTGCTGCTGACAGGCTGAGGCCACGTGGGAGGCCCAGGTTTGATTTCCAGCTCACCTTGAGTCTGGCATGTTGATGCAGGCCTATAGTTCCAGCTATTCGAGACTATCCTATTTGAATATATATGTGTGTGTAGAGTTTGAAAACCCATGGAGTATTTTCTCCTTTCAGATAAACTGATATGCGCCACCTCTCAGGGCATGCTAGTGAAGTGCCTGTGGGTCTCCACGAGGAGGCCAGGCTGTGCTGAAAGATGAGCAGGTCTGTCTGTAAGACTCAGGGCAAGAAGCTGTTTTGGTCCCTCACTCCTGTGATTCAAGACTTCTTTTCCTTTTAGCTCTTGGAAGAAAACATCTCTCATACCTTGCCCTCTGAGCCAAGCAGGACCCATTGGGTCACCACATGTCAAGAGAGGGCGTGGTTCTGTCCTCATATGGCTTTCTTACAATTAATCTTGTCCCATAGAGCATTTTTGGTTTTTGTTTTGTCCTGAGGGGAGACGTTGTGGGAAAGTTAATGAATATGTGGAGGATGAGGAGAATAGAATGAATGAATGCCAATGTTGATGATAGAGCTAATATTTTCTTTGAAGAGAACGAGAGTATCTTTCTGTTTGGAGAATAGCAGTTGCTTAAAATTTCATGTTCTTTTTGAATTAAATTGGTGAGCTTTTTTTTCTCAAATACCCATGTCACATCTATTTAAAGAAGAAGTTCTAGTTTGCCACTTTATTTCCTTAAAGCAAATAATCTGCAACAAGCTGAGGTTGTTATGCCCTAGAAGTGGTAGTAGAGGGTTATTTGTAAGATTGTGGAATAAGAACTGAAGGTTGGACATGCATCATCAGAGTAGATTTTTTAAAATATTATTTTCTTTTTTTAAAATTATATATATATATAGAGGTGACCATGCCACAATCCTTCTCCTGGGATTTGGGGCATGCATGCCAGTGTGTTTTTCAAACTGTGAGTCCAAGACTTAAACCGTCCAGTTGGCCACGTGCTATCCACCTACCTTAACCACCACACCACTGGCTGACCTCAGAATACAGTATTTCGTTTATTCATATAATATTGGTAACAATAAATAGAAGCAATATTCACATTCTATAAAAACAGAGAAATTGTCTTTTAAAGACTTGGATCCAAGGGAACCAACCAGCAGATGGCATAATAGTTATGTCGCTGGACTTCCATGTAGTTGATCGTGGTTCAAGTCCCAGATCTGGCAGCTGGTCTGGTGTGTGTGTGTGTGTGTGTGTGTCTAAAATTCCAAGAGGAGAATGGAAAAGAAGGGATTGCAGTATGGCCATCCCCGTAATTTCTTGCTTTTTGTTTCTCTATCTCTGGTGAGTGTATGTGGCCTATAGCAAAAATCTCTGTTAACAAAAAAGAATTGGGGATCAGCAGTTAGCATAATGGCTATGTTGCTGTACTCCCAAGTAGTTGACTGTGGTTCGCGACCCAGACCCGGTGGCTTAAAACTCATGCTGGGTACGTGTGTGTGTGTGCCCAAGATCCTGAAAGGAGAACGGAGGAGAAGAGATTGCAGTGTGGCCCTAACCACTGGGGGGGTTATTTCTTGCTTTATGTCTCTCTGTCTATCTGGTGAACGCACGCACCCTATAGCAAAGAAGAAAAAAAAACTCTCCAAAACAAAACAAAAGAATTGGATCCAGGACTTGAATTCTAATATGCTGATAGCTATTGTTTTTCTTCTCTTATAATAAAGGTATTTTATAAGAAAGAAGTGGGGGCTGGTACAGCAGTAAAAGATACCCCAGAGATGGAACGAGTGAAGAAAAATCAGCAGAACATTAGTTCAGTAAGTTCTCTGTAGGATTAATTATCCTTTCCAGAAGCAAACAGAACCTAGATAAATGTTAGTTCTTTACTCATCTGCTTGCTTTTTTTCTCTTATTCTTCATTTTATTGAAATGCTATTTTACCAAGTATCAAAGGTCTGACTGCCAAGATAAAAACTGCACTCTTCCTCTGCTTGAACCTAAAACAGTGTTTCATTTTGATATATCACAGTGGAGAAGACATAGATCAGTTTAATGAAATCTAGGATTAGATTTTATCTTTTTAAACAATTTTAACTGTATTAAGTTTTACAGAGAAAGGATACATTTCAGTACCTCTCCACAACTTGAGGGAAAGAAATTTTACCCTGATGGAATGATTAAAGTCCCAGAACATGTATTTGGTGACTTAAATGAAGGTTTGGATTTAAAATATATATATAATATATATATATATATATCAGTTCAATTTTACCCCATGACAATCACATTTCTGATCTCTCTCTCAGATAACATTTTTGCCCGTATTTCTGTTTTCTAGCCCTATTTACCTTCTATTTCTCTCAGCAAAGAAAATATACACCTTTATTTTAAATTGCAAAATAACTTATCCTCCCCTTTCCTTTGGACTAGGGAGAGAGTAGAAGGGGTGTTTAATGTTATGGGTTAAGAATTTTTTTTCATATGATGCTTGGCATTTTCAATAGAAACTTTCTGTCCTTATCAATAGGCATTCTTTGAAGCGTGTATGCTTAATATACTGACTTTCTTATTGAGGAAATAGAAAGGATTCTTTCCTTAAATTCTTCCCCTGGCTTCTCTTTTCATCTTCACCATTGGAGATAGTACTTCCAGAGTTTTTCTGCCTTGGTTAGACTCACCTGTGGGTAGTTCTGATGGTCACGGGGCATCCTGAGAATATGAGCATTTGTGAAGAGAACAGCAGGAAAGGCAAGGTGATGCCCTAGAAAAATATACTTCAGAATGAGATTGTAGGGCAGGCCCCATGGCACAGAAGGAATGTGCTGCTCAAGAGAAGCAGGATCCCACATGGTGACCATGGTTTGAATCCCTGGCCCTGTCAGCCTGAAACACACTGAGCACATGCTCAAGTGCCCAAGGCTAGACAGGCTGGAGGAGGGGAATTGCAGTATGATCAGACCCTGAGGAGACTCATCTCTCTGTCTCCCACTGTCTCTTTCACTCTCACATGTGTATACATACTTTAAAGAAGAAAAAAGGAATTAAAAAAAAAATCTGCTGAATACGAGTGCAGAAGGCTCTTTGGCTCGAGTGAAGCTATCTTCTGGGAAAGTGTAAGGAGAAGGACCAGCGCCTCAAGGTGTGGCTGAGGGTGTCCAAGTGTGTTATTCTGATGTGCTGTGGCGAGGGTCCATGGCAGGCAGCACTTGGGTCTGGTGGAGAACGTAGTTTGGGAGAGAAGTGTAAATTGTTTCCTTCGCTTGCAATTGATGGTATTTGAAATGTACCCGTCAACAAACCACCATGTAATGTCATAAACGTCCTGTAGTGTGTAATTCTGGCGCCTGCAGTGAAATGACGATACCATTTTGATTAGGTTAAAGTGGGATGAAAAACAAAAACGATCCTCCTTAATCATGTTTAGCTTCTCGCTCAAGGAAAAATCACGCAAAGTAGTACAGTGTATCATTTATTTTTCCCAGCAACCCACCGCCTCTTCTAGCAAACAGCAAACGCGTAAGTGCTGTATCTCTGTGAGGTTGGCCCATCAACTCCTGCTTAGTATTCAAATGGGAAGGTGCCCTTTCAAGATTAGCTAGATCTGTCAAACCAAGATATGGTTCCCTAACATTTAAAGATCTCGACATTTTCTACCTCTGGAGTACAGGCCTCTGAGCTATTAGCTCTCTGTGTTAAGAACAATTTTTGAATTTTATTTAGAGGTAGCCCATCTCAGTGAACTTTCAATTTAACCGTTTTGGATCTGGATTAACATTGGCCTTGCTCCTTGTATTAAATCTACAGATACTAAGATGTAGATACTTATCTGGGATATTGAGGCACTGTTTCTTCGTGACAGTCAGCATGGATTTCAGCCTTAATCAGTTTAAACTTTACCAAGTGATTTCTAAAACATGTTTTACGTCAATGTAATTCTTTGCTAAATTTCAACGTGTGCCTCATAAGACAAGCCTATGTTCCAAATATTTACATATGCATATGCCCTTTCTCTCTCTTTCTTTCTTTCTTTCTTTCTTTTTTTTAATTGCTAGAGGGTGTGTGTACTCTCTAGAGAGAAAGACAGTGAGAGCAAGAGTGAGCGAACGAGAGAACCCCCTCCATTAGGATGTGGTTATGCTACAATCCCTTCTCCTCCATTTCTCCATCTTGTTAGGATTTTAGGCATACACACACGTGTCCAGTGTTTTTATCTTTTTGGAGAGGGTTTTGGTATAGGGCGCATGTGCTCGCCAGAAAGAGAGAGAGAGAGAGACAGAGACAGAGACAGAGAGACAGAAAGTGAGAAATCACCACCCTGGGAGGATGGCCACACCGCAGTCCCTTTTCCTCCATTGTCTTCTTGTAAGCTTTTGCACGCATGCACATGTGCCTGGTGTGAGTTTAAGCCACCAGGTCCAGGACTCGAACTGCAGTTGACTACATGGGAATCCAGCGACATAGTCATTATGCCAACTGCTGGTCTCGTCCAGTGTGATTTTCAAGTCACCAGGGCCAGGTTTTGAACCATGGTTGTCCAGCTCCCTTGGTCACTAGGCCACAGGGCCGGCCCAGTATTTGTTCTTTCCTTGAGTCCAATCTTCCATGCATTTTAGAGATACTAAAATACTAGCTGAAATGATGGTCTCACTGATCGGGCTGTAAATTCAAAAGCTGTCTGTTGCCCCAGGCATAACCATGTACTGGTGCAATGTTCCCACTAGTCTAGTTGATCTTCCTAGAAATAGATTTGAAGGGGGAGCTTTCGAATGATGTGGATCTAGGAGATAGGTGATCTTTCCATGGTACCATTGTATGGATGGAAGACACTTCCTGCCTTTATAGTGATCAGGCCCCAGTGGTCTGCGCTTTCGGGACATTTTTTTCCCACCTCTCATTTTCTCTTCTTTTACTGTGGTCCTTTTATTGTTTCCCTTAGTTTGGATTATTTGCATGCTCTCAGTCAGACAGGCAGCGTTCCCAAGACTCTGTGTCTAACTCGATTTGACTTCTGCCTTTAAATTACGTATTAAATTTGAATGAACATATTAATAGATAGAAATGGCTTTTTTGGGTAAAAAAAATAACAAACCATTATATTCTTTAAGATAATTTCCAAGGTTTTTGTGTGTATCTGCCTAGTGGTAAAACTTATTTTTGTAACTGACATTTGCTTATTTTAATTAAAAAACTCCTGTAGCAATGGATTGGTGAGTAGATATGAATTTATTTGTACTTTGGGAGAAAGGAATCCTAAAAACATCAGATAAAATAAAATATCACATTTCCAATGATGGAAAAGTAAGGTTGGAATTAAAAACATTCAATTATGCAATAGTTACAAAAGGGGAATTCTTAATTATTATTTAAGCCTGTACAGAATAAAATTAACATTATATTTTTATAAATTATGCAGGTGAAATACAAAGAAGAGATTAAACAGGCAACCGCCATTTCTGATCCTCCAGAGCTAAAGAGAGTTAAAGAAAACCAGAAGAACATTAGCAATGTGATCATATTTCCTTAAGTATTTTTTTTCTCTGTGTTATTGGGTGCCAGTATGTAACAAGAGCAAGATGCCTGTAGAGATAAAATCTCACTGCATTGATACCATTGCCAAAGGGTTGGCTCCTTAGAGGAGGTGACATGTCCTACACATCTCTATGTCCTGCCAAACCTTCATATGCTTTTGTTTCTTGGAGAAACATGCCATGGAATGTCCAGTCTATCCTTGTTCTTGGGGGAATTCACAGACAAGTAGGATATGCCCCAAGAATATTCTCGGGGTCTCTAGGAAAACCAGACACACATAGCCATAAAGAACTTACTGCAAGGGACCAGCAGTTAGCGTAATGGCTATGTCGCTGGACTCCCATGTAGTTGACCGCGGTTCGCGTCCTGGACCTGGTGGCTTAAACTCACACTGGGTGCGTGTGCGTGCGTGCCCAAGATCCTGAGAGAAGAATGGAGGAGAAGGGATTGCGGCGTGGCCATCCCCCCTGGGGGGTGATTTCTTGCTTTTTGTCTCTCTGTCTCTCTCTGTCTGGCGAGCGCACGTGCCCTATAGCAAAAACCTCTCCAAAAAAACAAAAACAAAACAAAAAAGAACTTACTGCATAAAGAACTGTAACAGTAATGAGTACTTTTTGGGTGTTGCTATGCTTTTTGAGTACTTGACATGCAATATCTCATTTAATGATAAGTAAAAGTACTCTTGCAAGTGGTATGGAAACATGGAGAAGGAAGGCTCCATCGGGGGGAGAGAGCAGCAGCCTTAGAGAAGGAGTAATGTTGGAGTTTGATCTGGAAGAATTAATAAAGGTTTGTAGTGGGGTTTTTTTTTTTTCTGGCTGAGCACACTAGATGTGTTCAGGACCCAAGACCTGTTCAAGGAGAAGGCTTAGTGTGGTGAGTACGTGGATGAAGGTGGGGGAGGTGAGGAGAGGCAAGTGTGATGCAGGTTATGAAGAAGTGACTGGGGTGCACAGTGTCCCTCAAGTGTGGTTCACATTCACAGTGCATTCGTGAAGACTCAGTGGCTCTTGATGGACAGTGCTTGACTTAGCGCATCATTTTAATTTGTGCTTCCTTCTAAAAGAAGAGTTACTGATCTCCAACTTAGGGTAGAGACACAACACTCTCTTTAAAGAACTTATTTGAAAACAATAGGGAGTTAACTTAGTCAGAAAGTAATACTATTGATAGCAACACAGGTATTATTTTTGTAGGTTGAATATCCCTTATCTGAAATGCTTGAGGTCAGATGGATTTTTTTGGATTTTGGAATATTTTTATAGACACAATGAAATCTCTTGAGGATGGGACTCAAGTGTAAACATAAAATTCATTTATGTTTTATGTGCATTTTAGACACATAACCTGAAGGGGATTTTATGCAATATTTTTGTACTGCAACATTATGACTAAGACCCATCACCTGAAGTCAGGTGTGGAATCTTCTCCCTGTGGCATCATGTTGGTGCTTGAAGAATTTTGAATTTTAGAGTATTTCAGATTTCAAATTTTTGGATTAAAGGTGCTCAACCTCTAGTATTTATCTGGTATGCCATATGGAAAGTGGTGTGCTGATGGCAGAGATTTGGGAAATTTGGAGTGGTAAGAACTCAGAGCCTAGATAGTTGGTTTGGTCTTAACTCCAGACTTTACTTGGTATATAATCTTCATAAGCCAATAACTTCTTTTTTTTTAAGAATTATTTAACTTTATTTATTTATCCATTTATATATTTTTAACTTGACCAGAAAGGGATGGGGTGGGGTGGGGGGAGTGAGGAAGTAACTGCCAGGTCCAGGATTCCAACCACGGTTGGCCATGTTTGAGTCTAGCTCCCTTAACCACCACACTACCTGCTGGACCATAAGCCAATAACTTCTTTTTTTTGGAGAGGTTTTTGCTATAGGGCACGTGTGCTCACCAGAAAGACAGAGACAGAGAAACAGAAAGTGAGAAATCACCCCAGGGGGATGGCCACGCTGCAATACCTTCTCCTCCATTCTCCTCTCGGGATCTTGGGCACGCATGCACACACACCCGGCTTGAGTTTAAGCCACCGGATCTGGGACTCAAACCGCGGTCAGCTACATGGGAGTCCAGCAACATAGTCATTACGCTAACTGCTGGTCCCAGGCCAGTAACTTCTTAAAGCCTCATTTTCTTCATTTATAAAACAGGGATCAGCGTTTTAAATGAGATATTGCCTATAAAGTACACAGCATGTTAATACACAAATGTAAGACATGAAGATTCTATCAAATCTGTGTTCCCTGAGCCAGGTGGCATGGTGATTAAGGCATTGGACTCCCACATGACCAATTGCAGTTCAAGTCCTGGACTCAGAGGCTTGAAACTTACTGGGTGTGTGTGCCCCAAATTGCGAGTGGACAATGGAGGAGAAGAGATTGCAGCGTGGTTATCCCTCCTGGGGGATGAGTTCTCACTTTCTCTCTTTGTCCCCCTCTGTCTGTCCAGCAAGCACATGCACCATATAGCAAAAATCCTCACTTAGAAAAAAACAAATCTGTGTCCCCAAACATACATCCACTGGAAATTGGCTGCAACAGTTTTTCTACCTCAGTAATATCATAGGTCAACAGATTTTTTTCCTCCTGTGAGCTCTGTCCAGGGTCGTCTTTCCCTGCATCTTGTCATCCATAGAGCTTAAACTGAAACATTCTGTACTTTACCACCGATAATCCTCCTAGTCACAAGATTCTGGCTAAACTCTCAAACCATTTACTGTGGCACAAAGAAGGTCACAGAGGGAGGAGAGAGATTACATGGGAGGGATCCCAACCTGCTTTCATTTATTTTCCAGGCTTTTTAAACTTCTCTGTTCCAGTCCATTTTGTTGTTAATAACCAAAAATACCCAAAACTGGATGATTTGTAAAAATAGAGCTTAATTCAGATCATGGTTTGGAGATCCGAGGTCCAGAGGCTTCTGGTGGGGTCTGCTGACTGTATCAGGACCTGACTGAGGGCAGCGGAGCATGGTCTCTGTTCTGCATCTCTGTCTCGCATGACCTCTCTTTATAAACCTACCAGGACTCCGTCATGGGAGCCCTGCCCTAACCACCCAGTTACTGATCTCTTAAAGGCCTCACCCTCAACATAATAATTGGATCTAGTTTCCGCCCTGTTAATCCTGTGACAATCAAATCTCAACCCATGAGCTTGGAGGGAGGCCCACACGAAGCATGCTCACTTTCAGGTTCATGGCTAGGAGTGTGCGTTCCCAGTCCACGTTATCCACAAGCCTCGCAGGTCTTGGGAATTCTTGTAAAAGAAAATCTCTAACACTGAATTTAAATTCCAAAAATCATTAAGACTGTCCCTGTGGAGTCCCTTACAGGGGCTTTTAACTGCAAGCTCTACTTTCACCTGTCAGAAGTCCACGTGATAGATATGCTGTTCTGTTTCTCTGTGTTTGATGCTCATTTATTTCCTGGGGTGTCAGGAAATAGCTGGGAAATGATGGAGTATACTCCCCTCCAGCTAAGAAAGAAGACCTCCACGCAGTGGGTCAGAAAGATTTCCATGACGCTGGCTTAGAAGGCAGGCTGCCCAGTGTTGGGACAGCACAGAAGAAACTTGGAGGTCCAGGGTTTCTTTCCACAGTGACAGTCCGCCACCGGAACACAGGCATGCGATGTGGGACTCTGCTTCCCAGTGGATAGAGTGCAGAATTATGATTTTTTTAAGTTTTATTATTTTTTTAGGGAGTGAGAAACACAGAGAGACATACAGAGAGACAACTCCCCTGACAGGGTCCTGATACCTTAATCTACCCCCAGCTTCAGCCAGCCCTGGAGGTATGCGTGTGCCTGGTAACTCAGGGAGATCTCTGGATGCATACCCGAACTCTCCCGAGTGGGTTAGCCTTGCAGAATGTCATATTTTGCTACTGTGTTACCACCTGGCACCTGCAGAATTATTGTTATTTATTTAATATTATTATTATTGATGTTATTATTGTTATTATTTTCCTTTAAGACATGTATACTCGCCAGAGAATGACAGACAGGAAGAGAGAGAGAGAGAGAAAGTGAGAAAGCAAGTTGCCAGATCTGGGGCTTGAACCACAGACAGCCACGTGGGAGTACAGTGCTTTAACCACCATGCCACTCACCAGTTGGCCCCCAGAATTATTATTTTTAAATATGAATTAGTAATGTGATAAACATAACTTTAGTGTTAAAGAAATGAACTCACAAAAGGGATAATTCATTATTACCGATAAGATGAAACTCATAGAGGCCACCAATAAATAATACAGTTTAAAGAATAGCAAGGAAATGGATAATTTATGATAATTGACATGGAAAAGAGTGGAATCACTGAAAAGATGATTGCGTTGTCTTGTAGCAACATATATTTCATTATAAAATCAGAATGCAGATTTTACTGCTGCATATTGTGGCCATGTGACATTTCTGTTCATCTCTCCCAATGTGTCATCACCCTCATCTCCTATAATCCTGATCTGCATTGTGCCTTGTCTCCCAGCTCCAGTACAAAGAGCAGAACTATAAGGCCACTCCGGTGAGCGTGACCCCCGAGATAGAGAGGGTGAAGAGGAACCAGGAGCAGCTGAGTGTGGCAAGTTTTCTTTTATATTTTTTCAAACATTACACATTTTGATTTTAAAAAATGTTTGGGACCAGCAAATGGGATAGTGATTACATTGCTGGACTCCACCTGGCATACCTGGTTCGAATCCTGGATCTGGTGACTTGAAAATCATGCTAGGTGCATGTTTGTGCATGTCCAAGATCCTGGGAGGAGAATGTAAGAGAAGGGATTGTGCGGTGGCCATTCCCCAGGGGGATGATTTCTCACTTTCTCTCTCACTGCCTCTCTCTCTCTCTCTGGGGATAACACATACGCTATGGCAAAACCCTCTTGAAAAAAGAGAAAGCTCTCAGAATAGCTATAAGCGCTCTGGTTTTTTGGACACTCATTTTCAATTCACAGATGGAAAGGCTTGAACCATGCTTCTCTCATGTGAGCCTAGGAAGTTTGGGATGGTGTCACTCTGACCTTGCTTGTTTGGTCAAGAGATCTTCATTAGGCCCCTGAATGTGCCAGGTACACCGCAGCACAGAGACGGACACGATCTGCTTCCTATCCTCATGCACCTCGTGGTTTAGCTGGCAAATCTCTTAAAAATAAATTCACAGAAGGACCTGGAGACGAATGGGTCTGGTGTCAAAAAAAAATTACCAATTGGCATAGGGCACAAGAAAACTGGATGTGGGGTCAGCTGGTAGTGTGGTGGTTAAGGCACTGGATTCCCACATTGCTGACCATAGTTCGAGTCCCAGACCCTGCACCTTGAAAATCACTACAAATAAAAAAAGACAAATAAGTGTTTGTTTGTTTCTATAGAAAAGAAGACTGGGCTTGACTGGCCTTTTAAGACAGTATCAGAGCAAGGAACCTTATATATAAAACAGAGGACATTATTCAGTAACTTATTGCCAGTAAGTAAGACTAGTTAATGATTATGGGGCATTTCTGCTAGGTGCTGGACCCCATGCTAACGTTTTACATGATCCCATGAGTTCAGCGCCCCTCATTTCTCCTTGTTAGATATGGGAAACCTAGTCTTGGGAAGGTCAGAGAATACGCCAGGAATGCACAACTGGTAGGAAGAGAGCTGAGATTTGAACTCAGGCCTCCTGGAATTCAGAAATCCCTTTCAAGGTATCCTCAGATTGTTATTTTATTCATTTTATGGCTGTTTTGTGCAACTTTTCCCAATATAAACTACAGCTGCCTTTTTCCAAAACAGGTATTTTTTAAAAAAAATTTTGATTTTTTTTTTTTTTTGGAGAGGTTTTTGTTACAGAGCGCGTGCGCTCACCAGAGAGACAGAGAGACAAAAGGCAAGAAATCACCCTTTCAGGGGGGATGACCATGTTGCAATCCCTTCTCCTCCATTCTCCTCTCGGGATCTTGGGCACGCACGCACATGCACCCGGCATGGGTTTTAAGCTACCGGGTCTGGGATGTGAACCGTGCGTGGTCAACTACATGGGAGTCTAGCGACATAGCCATTATGCTAACTGCTACTCCCCAAAACAGGTATTTTTGAAAGACTTTCACATGAAAGAGTGAATTCTCCCAGGTGGAGGAGAAAATGCAGCTCACCAATGCTTATCTTTGTGTACCCCCGGAAGTGGGAGGAGGCAGAGATCTTCACCTTACTGAAGGCCGGAGCCCCAGGGTCAGAGCTAATAAAAGGCTGCCCTAGGCCGTCACATTGATTTCGTTGTAGTTCTTGGGAAAGACTTCATTTTTGTGTTTCAAACGTGCTTCTTTATATTCCCGTTACTTTTATTTATTCATTTATTTTAGTTTGCTATAGGGCACATGCTCTCGCTGGAGAGAGACAGAAAGAAAGACAGTGAGAAATCACCCATCGGGGCGGGGATGGCGATGCCTCAGTCCTTTCTCTGCTATCCTCCTCTTGGGATTTTGGGCTCACACAATGTGCCCAAAGTGTCTTTCAAGCTGCAGGGTTTGGGAGACAAACCACGATGTCAGCCACGTGGGATCCAGCTGCCTTACCGTCTGTACCACAGCTGCCCCCCCTTGCTTCATTCGTGGAATTTGCGGTGACTTTTGCCACTGAATGGCCAGGTGTTTATTGGAGACCTACTTGTAAATAGTGCAACCGAGATTTTGTGCCCGCTAAGTGAAACCGATTAAAGTGTAGGCGTGCTATAAACAGGAAGGTGGATAAAAAGCTACTGTAAAAAAAAAAAAATAATACAAATGATGGGATTAATTTTGTGCCTTGTTCTCTGTGATATTTAGCCAGAGCCCATCCTACCATCTCTTAAAATTCTTTCTTTCCCTCTGTAGGTTAAATACAAAGGCGAGATGAAGCATGCCACCACAATTTCTGACCCACCAGAGCTGAAGAGAGTGAAAGAAAACCAGAAGAACCTCAGCAATGTGTGCTCACTTAGTAACTCTTTAGAGTATCGAACGTATGGTCACACGGATGACACGTAGACAGGGGTTGTATTTACGTGGTTTTCGTAACCTTGAATTGATGAGTTGATGTTCTGTTCCTGGTTGACTAACGGTTTATGGGAAAAATTTCAGGGTCTTAAGTGTTACGGGTACAGTCAGGCACTTTTCCATCTTGGGGCATCCCGTGATACACCAGGATGACTGTCCCTGCCACTGTTGTGAC